CTTTCCCTATGTTGGGCCCAAAACCCATGAAAAATTAGGCCTCATCCAAAGACCACAAACGCTTCTACAACATCAATTTGGATTTGTGTGAGTGGAGTGCAACCCCTTCTTCTCAATTATCACCATCGTGACGTTTATATAAGAGAGGAGTTTCATTCCTCCATTTTCACACCTATCCCAAAATTCTTCCCTAACACCATTCCATCCCTTGGTTGTGCTTCACAAAGAAAGGCATCCAAATATTTGATTGTAACAACCCAATATAACATGCCTTGATGAACTTTACATTGGGGTAGGTAAACTTATAGCTATCTAAAACTCTAATAAAAGACTTCCTGATTCAAATATGAGAGTTATTATTCACACCCCATGTTATTTAAAACCCTCACCTTTTCCATTTTTTTAAAATAAAAATACCCTTAATGTTGGACATCCCCATAACTTAATGGAGATATGTTTTCATTATTTATCTTAAAAATTTACACAACACAAATAAGTTTATGATGTGTATCGGATTAAGATACACTTTTTGTTTGTATATTCGAATCAAATACACAATAAAAATTTGTTTTCATCATTGTACATCAAAGAGCAACTTAAACATATTTTCATTGTTCTTTGATGCACAACCAAAATAAATTATCATTGTATCTTGATGAGATTCACAATAAAAACAAGTTTTTATTATGTATCCCGCCAATATATATTACAAAAAGTTGTTTCCATTGTGTTTAGGGAGTGTAACGTTAAGGGTATTTTTATAAAAAAATATGAAAAAAGGATTAGGTTTAATTAATCTTTGAGGTGTGAATAGCAACCCCTTCAAAATTTAAGTATTTTTCCCTCTCTTGATGACCCAACATGTTTGGCTAGTAGACGTGCTCATATAAGACTTAATAAAACCTGCAATAGAAAATTTATAATTTCTTCTCTATAAATCAAAATAATTATATTAAATGAGAGAGTATTTAAGAATTATTCTACAATAAGATTATTTTTTAGGAGCTTTTCTTTTAAAAGAATGTTTTTAGGAATTTTCTTAATTTTTTTCTTCTTTCAATCTATCCTTTCCAATTTTATTTCTAAACTGATTTTATACATTTTTTTAAAATATAAATAATTAAAAATATTTTTATATGATAATATAATTATTTATCTTAAATTTAAATTATAATTTATATTTTTAAAAATATTTATTTATTAAGAATTTTAATTATAATATAATTTTTATATTTTTAAAAGTATTTATTTATTATACATTTAAGTCATATAAAATAAACATTTTTTTCGTGTATTATTTAGATGAGATTACTAGTAATAATAATAAACAATAATAGTCAAAATAAGAACATAAGCAACTAAGCCGAAGAAGCAAATCGAGTTGCATAAGTGGATTATAGTGAAATGAAGTTGAAAGTTTGGGTTACATCCATTTTACGTTGGGCCATGTTATCCTTAGTGTCTCTTTTTCTCTTCCCACTTCTCACTCCCCACATATTTTGTTTTGTTTTTTTAAATACCCTTGATAAAAATAAATTTTCATTTTGCTAACTTTTTTAAAAGATCCAAGGGACTGAAGTAAACATTTTTAATAAGGATTGAATTCACCCTCATCTA